GGTTGCTAATTATATGCAAGAAGAAGGGTTCCCTACAGGTTCAGGAATTTTGGGGCCGGGGGGGTAGAGAAGCAGCTTTAATTGCCACAGCTCTGGGAGCCACCAGTTAATACTGCCACAACTTGATTGTGCCCCTTTCTACTCCCTCGCCAGTCCTTCAGACTTCCAGGCCCGTGTGGACTCCCCCTCCCCACTGCACCAGATCTACATAGCACATAGTTTCAGACTTGGCACATGGTCCCACAACCAGTGCACAGAGCTGGGCCTGGCATGTGCCAGTGTGTGCTTGATTGGGCCCTGCCATGTGGTCCCCAGCCCCAGTGCGCAGCCTCCAGGCCCAGAGACCTTAGGATACTTACCCAACCTCCAATGTAAGATTTTTTTTTTTTTTAACTTCTTGTGGCTTATGACAAACCCGTCTGTGGAGGACCCTCAGAGCTCTAAGTTTCTTTCCACTGTGCTGCCACTTGCCCCAATGAACAGACCACTGTTGCCCTGAGAACTTCTTACTTGCAGCAAGCCACAGGTCCACTAATCTGCAGCTGCTGTAAGGGAATCTCTGCCAGCCCCAGCCCATCTGGCTACCTCCTGCCCCTCCTGAGAGATCTGCCAGTGTTTTTAGAGAGCAGCCTTTCTGCTGATCCTACCAGCCCTGGCAGCTTGGGTCTTGGACCCTTCTCCAGCTTGGAAAAGATCTGAAGGACCTAGCTAGTCACTAAAAAGCCGCCAAGGCCAGCTGTCCATTATCAGCATTATTCTAGTGGCTCATGAGTAACCAAAATCCTCCAGAACTTTCTGGTCACCCTGGGGTATCTGAATGTCCCCTGGCTGAAGGGCCATTTCTTTCAGGTGCCTTTTCTGTGGAGGAGTTGATTTCTCCCCATTACAGAAAGACAGTGCCTTGGATGTATGCTAAATACTGCACTTCATTATCTTCTAGTCGTATCACAAAATTACAAAAATATGTTTATATCAAATCCTGTTACATATACAGATATGAAAGTGATAAAACCATCTTTACTGGAGCTACAAAAAGAGGCTAGACACCATAGGGGTAAATCTAATTAGGGAGAATATCCAGGTCTGTCACAGCACAAACTCAAAAGGCAACTCAGTTTTGGGATGAATCCATGACTGAGCCTTCTAAAAATAGGGGGTTGTATTTTATGTCAGAAAATACATCAAACCATGTAAGTGACAGAATCACAATAAAGATTAGAATCTTTCAAGAAATACATCAGCTATCTTTCTAGGATATACATGCTTGAATTGGTTTATCTTTGTTGAGTTTTTGATGAAGTCAGAGTGGGATGGTATCTTTGTGTTTCAGTAAAGCAACTTGAAATGTTTTTATTCATTTATTGGTAGAATGATGCAATGTTTTACCAGATTAAAATAGGAGAGACTATGGAGGGTAGTATGTTGTCTATCTTTGTTTAAAAATGGAAACCATGCCTACTCAATTTCAAACTTTGAAAAGCAGTAATGGTTAGTAGATAATTGAGCGAATTGGTGTTTTACCTGTTTCCACACATAGCTATGCATATAGCACATCACAGCCTACCCACCAGACTGTGTTAGAATATATTCAGATAAATCTGTGTATATCCTATAGGAGTTTTTTTGGTTATTGTCTTTCTAGGTAAGCTGTATGCTGTTGGTGGCTACGATGGGGCATCACGTCAGTGCCTTAGTTCAGTAGAATGCTATAATGCTAGTACAAATGAGTGGACCTATGTTGCAGAAATGAGCACTAGACGGAGTGGAGCAGGTAAGTGAACAAAAATTGATGGTCATAATAAAACAAACCCATGTAATTGCATTAAAAATTCAAAATGTATTCCTTAATGACTGCTTCAGAATATTTGGTCTTATTGTACTATACACATGAGTATCCTGTAGATTATAAATGCAAAACTAATACAATAAGATTCAGTCTGGAAATATCAAATGTATAAGGGGCTCTTTTTTCTCATTCTGAACCATTTGTATTTACCCACAAACTCTTTAAGGCTTCTGAATATTAATATAGTGGAATAAAACAACCAATACAAATATAGTATCAACTAAAGCCATTTACAAATTTAAGCAACTTTATAGAACTATACAAATTATAGATAAAAAGGGGGCTATGCTACTCCTTTGCAAGATAAGGATTAGCATTCTCCTAATAGTCTTTGGTCTAACCTTATACATGAAAAGTGAATGCATTTCTATGAATTTCTTTGGCAGACTTGTTCTGATCTTACTGGTCATAGGATCATAGGAAGGTCAGGCTGGAAGAGACCTCATGAGGTCATCTAGTTCAACCCCCTGCTTAAGGCAAGATCATCCCTGACTAAACCTCATGGTCAAGTATCTGTTTTACCTGCCTGTGCAAATTTCCAGAGATGGAGATTCCACAGTTTCTCTAGGTAGCCTGTTCCAATGCTTCACTACTCATAGTCAAAAAGCTGTTTCTAATCTCCGACCTAAATTTCCTCTGCTGCAGCTTGAGGCTGTTGTTCTAAGTCCTGTCCCCTACAGCTACAGAGAAAAGTATATTCATCCTCTCTATAATCACCTTTCAGGTATTTTAAGACTGTTATCGAATCCCCCCTCAATCTTTTCTTTGCCAGACTAAATAGCCCTAGTTCTTTCAACTTGTCCTTGTAAGTCATGTTCTCAGGTCTCTAATATTTTTTGTTGCTCTCTGAATCACTTCTTCAGATTTACAAGCAACTAGTCTGTTAATACAATAGTCTCAAATAGTATAAAATTAGAAGTTATATTCCCTGTTCCAGGGTATCTTTGAGCGTTAATACATCTTAAATTAAAACTATCTTTATATAGGTTTTCTTTAAAAAAAATCTTAACCAAAAACCAAAAGATTAAATAAAAAAAAATCTTTTTTTTAATTAAAAAAAAATTGTTTTGTTTTGTTTTATCCACCCTGCCCTCTGAAGTATTTGCAGCTCCACCCAACTTGGTGTCTTCCTCAAAGTTGCTAAGTGGCCACTCAGTCCCATCCTTTTTAACATTAGTCAAGAGGTTGAACCTAGACTGCAGATTTGCTAAGCATGCACTCAATCCATCATCCAAATCATTAACAAAAAAATTAAACAATACCCAGACCCAGGACAGACCCCTGAGGAAACCCCACTTGATACTTCCTTCCAACTAGGCATTGAGTTATTGATGACTACATGGTGAGCATGATCCAACCAGTTACATATCAACCTCAGTACTTTCATCTACTCTGTATTTCTTTGCTTGTTAAGGAGAAAGTTGTGGTATCAGAGGCTTTGCTGAAGTCAGTGTATATCATTACACTGAACAGTTCTGTTGCAGAGAACCCTGAAAGACCACAGTAGGTCAGAATGCTTTTAATAGTATGAATTGATATTTCAAATCTCTGAGTTTATCTTGTGAATCATGTTTTGCAGACCTAACAGTGCTAATGATGCATGTCACCCCGGCACCCTGGTTTCCCTATGGTGTGTCCTGTCTGGCCCTGTCAACTTAAGCATCTAGCTTGCCTAAGTAATCCCTAACCTGTTCTTAAAGGGCATTTGTGTCCTTCCCTATATTTGCTGCCAACTGCACTTGTCATCTGGTAGCTGACTATTCATGTATAGGCTTTATTTGTGGGGAGGAAGAGACATTAAATATCTCAGCCTTCTCTGCATCATCTATAACTAGATTGCCTTCTGCATTCTGTAAAGGACTTGTGATTTCTTTGATCTTTCTCTTTTAACGTGTAGAATCATTTTTATTATCTTTTAAGTCCTTTGTAAGGTGCACCTCAGAGCATGCCTTGGCCATCCTAATTTTTCTCCCTGCATGCCCATACAATAATACTTATACACTTCTATAGTACCGTGACCTAATTTCCAATCTTTGTAGGATTCCTTCTCAAGTTGCAACTCATTGAAGAAATTGCTTTCTAGTTAGGCCAGTTTCCTGTTACACTTCCTGGTCTTGTGTTACATCAGAATGGAGATATTTATTCCTGCACTCTTAATATGGTCTCCTTAAAGTACAAAACTTAAGAAGCTTCTCCATATTCATTCTTACATTCTTCTATTTACATACCTTTCATTCCACCTTGAATAATTCCTTTCCTTACCTTGCGTTTGTAGCTTTAAAGCTAAGCTATCATGTGCTGCCATGCCATTATCAGTTAGCTGAGCTGTATGTATTTCTGTCCATTTCCCCTCGTAAATCATTTTCTGCTGCTATGCTTTGAACACCGTCCATTTTTTCTTACTAGGGACTTTTGTAGGGTCCAGAATTGAATGCAGTATTATAAGTATGCATTTTTTTAATAAAATTAAAAATGTTGGTGACACCTGATTTATGTTCCTGAAATGATACTTCAGCTCCATAATGACTTCAGCATTTTCTGTCTCCTGCTTACACTGTGTACTCAAATCTTGTTTGCTGTTCATTGGAGTTACTTAGATTATAGGTAACCTTGTGGTTTGGCTACTGATACAGGTCTACATCCCCAGCTTTTATTTGCTTGCACTTCAAAACACAAAAACAAACATTTATCCCAAAGTCGGTCTGGCTACCCCTGATTCTCATCTGTACTGGCTGGGGAGAATTAAGGATGGCAGGAGGGTCATAGAGTTTTTTTCTGAATTTGCCAAGTTCTCCAAATTTCTCTCTAGCCTATACCCTGTACTTATAAATGGCTGGTTGTAATATTCTAATACACGACCTCGCATTGGTTTAATTTAAATGTATGTGTTTCACTGAAACTTTTGGAACTGAACCATATCTCTTGTAGACTTGGAAGGTGTCAGTTAGTTGGGATTTATATCCTTGGGAAAGTAAAAGGAAGGGTTTCTTATCTCCTTTCCTCCCCCATTGTGTGCTGTTCAACAGTGTCCTGTTTCCTCTTTACCTTAGTTCACTCTGACAAAGCTGTTTTTTGCTTTTACAAATTATCTAAGCATCTTAACACAAAAGTATATCTATTATAACAAAATGGAATCTAATACATTTGGCTACATTTAATCAATACTACTTGTATTTTAAGATAAAAATATCATGTAGTATATTTGAATTATTTAATCTATGGTCTTCCCTTATAATGTCTCCCTTCAGACCTTGTGCTTTAATTGCATCTCATAGTTCAGTTAGACATGCTGTGATGGCTTCCTTTACTTTGCTGACCAAGCTAAGTAAGCTAAGTCATATCTGCAAAGGTTTGTGCTATGGTCACTAAGAAACAGGCTTTTGGGACTTTCTGCTTAGTCACACTTATGCAGCTTGTCTTAGGCCGCTTGAAAATGACCAAGGCTGGTGACAACTGTCACCTGTTCTTCTAGTATTCCAGATGTTTTTTAATTCATTACACTTATTTTGTTTTTCTAGGGTATTTACAAGGGCCCACTCCTTCCCCTCCCTACCCCAGCATTTTGTTGTTTTCCTGTCCGTATTTCTAGTTTCTTTGGATGTGTTACTGTTTAAACTTAATCATGTTTCTAGCAATGCCCTTTCAGTTTCCATGGGGAACAGTGTTACTGCACTTGATATTTGCAGCAATATCTTTTTTGACTGACCAGATATAGCAAGCACTTCTAGTACATACTGCTAGATTTTTCCAAAGTTATTTCAGTTGTATGTATTGTCCTCATTTACCATCCTTGAACTTGCTTTTAATTTAAATTCAATTTGAAATAATTTGTTTTTAGTAGGAATTTACAAAGTTGGTAATTTTAAAATTAAAATCCAAACATTCCCTCTACAGTGTGTCCAGCATATGCCTCTTGCGATTCTAGCTAATTCTGATTTTTTTTTAAAGCCAAAATTGCAAGAGTGAAAACATCTGGATTCTTAATACAACATCACTTAGTGTTTCATTAACCATTTCTAACTAAGTATAGATATCTTGGAAATAAGCATCAGATTATAAACTAGCCAAGGCTGTTATGGAGTTGTTTGGATAGAGATGATCCGGCCTCACGCAGGGCGTTGGACTAGATGGCCTATGGAGGTCCCTTCCAGCCCAACATCTCTATGATCCTATGAAAAGGATATTTAATTTGAGGAAAATAAATTTTATTGAAAAATAGGCTAAAGACTTGATTTTTCTATTAAGATAAATAAGGTGGGATATAAATCTAAAAAATGAGTGTTTTTTATATGTTTGCAGGTGTTGGTGTGTTAAACAATTTATTGTATGCAGTAGGTGGTCATGACGGTCCTTTGGTTAGAAAAAGTGTAGAAGTGTATGATCCTGTTGCTGGTACATGGAAGCAGGTTGCAGACATGAACATGTGCAGAAGGAATGCAGGTAAGTACTAGATTTTATAGAAGTAGATACTAGAGTTTATTCTACTTTAGAATGCTAATAATGTGTTTGCACCCTTGTGTTTACCTCTTGACATTTCTGCTCCTTTGCTGAAATCTCAAAATGGAAGGCATGCTTTCACTATGTAAGCAAATTGTTGTGCATTATAAATATATTTTGCTGTAAAGTCTTTCATCTTTCTTAGGGGTTTGTGCTGTAAACGGTCTGTTGTATGTAGTTGGAGGAGATGATGGTTCCTGTAACTTATCAACAGTGGAATATTATAACCCAACAACAGATAAATGGACAGTTGTGTCATCCTGTATGAGTACAGGAAGGAGCTATGCAGGTAAACTTTTTATATCAAATTTAAAAGTAGAACATCAGGGTGAAGTAGTCTGAAAAAGCACCCAAAGAGCAACATTTCCAGAGTACAACTCATTACTTTGACTGCTATGTATCTATCAATCTAGCCACACCATGCCCACACATATGCACTACATGGACACACATCAAATCAAGATAATGTTTTACTTCGGACATTTTAGATGTATCTATATATTCCAATTTCATTTAGAAACCCAGTATTGCATTAATCAGATTTTTCATACCATTCTGTTTTTTATAGCAGATTTTTTCTCACTATTCACTGAACATTTGTTTTAGGATCTGAGAGAGGTAGAAAGGCCAAGAATGTTACAGTCTGGTCAGCATGCTCAGAAAAGACCACTAATTTTGGATGTCTCAATGTTTGGATCCTTAGACTCTGTGTTAAAGGAGCCTGGTTTTTTAGATGTCTTAAGCATGCAACTGAGCCCTTTTTAAAAGGATCTAGTCAGGCACAAACAACTTCCCAAACAGGTCCTTTATATAGGTATCACGTTAGTGATGATACAACTGAGTGGTATTTCTCAAAGCCTAATAACTTTCAAAATTATGCATTATGTAATGTTAATGTAATAACGGCATAATGTTAATGTCCTGTGACGCTGATTGATGCACAGTATAGCGTTTGAGTTCCAGAAGCTTTAAATTAAGTCCCTCTAATATGCTGCCTTTATGATTCTCTCACTCTAGGTGTTACAGTTATTGACAAACCATTATGAGAGGGGAAGAGATTTTGAACTTAAATTATGCACTAGAAGCAAGCTTCAACAAGTGTGTTTGAAGTGATTGAGTATCTAAGCACTTCTCTACTTGTAGCTGCACATTGAGTCACAGTGGAAGATGTGACTGTCTACAATTACGGACAACAGATAATGAAGATTACTCTAGATAGAAGCAACGTGTAGGATTATTCTGCATTGAGCAGCAGCTGACTGAATTTTTATAAAGGCTTGTGGACCAGTTTTTATTTGCAAGGTCGTCAAACAAAGTCACTTTCATAAGGACCAACTCATGTCAGTCATGACTGAGAAATGGATTGTTTGTCAGTGAAGAATGATAAAGTGATGTGTATTCTGGTGAAAGTAAATTTTTGTCTTATTTTTTCCAGAGACTTAATATATACATATATATATCCATGAACTCCAAGTCTTCAGAATGGGTATTGAATCCCACCTGAGTAGTACAGCTTGGGGTGGGGCAAACCTGTTTGCTTTTATAAATTTTGTTACATGAATATGTGTGCATATGTATATGTGTGTGTGTGTTGCTTTTCATTAAAAAACTCTTCAGAACTTGATTATACTATTTATAATTGGCACAAGTACTTTGAATTATGCCAGTACTATGTTGTAAAACAGAGTTGTATTTTTTGATATTTAACAATGCTTAACACTACTAAATGCCACTTACAGAGAACAAAGAAGGCATATATGCTTAAACAGGTGGAGTGCCAGAATCTTTTTAATAAACAATGAGTTGCTGGTACTTATTTAAAATATTTTTTTCTCTCTTTATTCTTGGCCATGTTTAAATCTTCTCCTTTCTTATCTTTTTTATCAAAGGTGTTTTGGCATGAACATAAGTGAAGATTTATAATGAATGTATGGACCTCAACTGAACTTGCATGGTATTAAGAACTATCTAAGTGTATAACTTCAGCTGCTATTAATGAATATGAAAATATACTGTATGTGGCCATATTTGTAAAGCAACTACCATTTTTGTTCATTTTTGGATGGCCTTCTTTTAAATAAGGCCTAAACTATTGTCATCTTTGAGCTATTTTATTTAAATAAAAGTTTGTATATTTGTTTCATAATGCCAACGGGTTGCTTCAAACTTGTATTTCTGAATATATGCATCACAGAAAAAATCTTTGAAATAATCAAGTGGTAAAGGATATTTTATTTGGAAAAATATTAGTAATAAAGTGTTAACCCAAGTAAGAGTCAGCTGTGAATGAATTCAGGTTTAAAGAGGGGACTTCTGGGATCACTGATCCTTTGTAAGTCACTCCTTGAGTACCTCCAGCCCAGTTATTTAAAGTTATCACTGGATGTCCAGTTTTGGGGCCCACAATTTTATTTGCTATTGAGTACTTGGACTTTAACTTCCCAGATCTCAGTTTACTAAAGTTGGAAATAATGAGCATGCTTTTTTCACTACTAGTTGAGATATCAGCAGTTGAATGATCTGTGGGAAATAGTCCTGCTCTCACTGCTAGAGACAATTCTTTCCTTTTTAGGACAGATGCCTCCTTGTACTAGATGCTATAAAGATACAGACTGGGGATCCCTGACTTAGGTTGTTAATTTACTACCCCGGTATCAGTAACAAGGCTGAAATTAGTGGGATTGGGCAAGGAAGCTTGCATTCCACTCCTGATTTTATGCACTATTTATTGATTTGGGATGGTGTCTTTCAAACTAAAGCTTCAGAATAGGAGCATTTAAGTAGGTGCTCCAAATCCAGAATGCCAGTTCTTTTTTTCACAACGAGAATCAGTGGCACAGAAATGAAGCTGAAGTTGGTTCCTTATTCCCAGTGCCTTATTCCCGGTAGCTTGTTCTTTTTTCGAAGCTAATGTTTACACAATTAAAGGTTATTAGTAACGAATTAAACATGCTAAAGAGTTAGACTTTCATCAGAAATGTATATTTACGAATAAAAATGTAAAATGGGGGAATGTTGTGCAAGATGAGCTCCAGAATGGGAGGAAAGAGCGGGGTGGCACCCATCCTGTGACAGAGAGAGAGAGTGATTGGGACCCCTGGAGGTGGCATCCACAGCAGTTCTCCCTAGCATCATACTCTAGCACTGTTCTATAGCATCAGAGTGACAGTAAATCCTGTGCAGGCCTCCCTATTCAGACCTTGCTACTTTGACTGTCATAGGTGGTAGAAACCTCTGAGAAGGGTGGCCAACCTTGGCAGCAGGCAACAACAGGGCCTCTAGAGTGGGCCTTCCTACCCATTGCTTCCTACTAAACTGGTGAAAGTGGTAGAAATCCTGGATGGCAGCGCCCTGGTTGAGACTTTTTCCCAAGTGACTGAGCTAGATGCTAGCTCCCGGGTTGGTTCGCCACTGACTATGAATGTGATGAATTTGTAGGTACAGTTAAAAGTTAATAGACGTTTTGTTTAGGGTGTACCCTTGTTCCCTTTTTTCCTTGTAAAAAATGTTTAAATTTAACATTTGCTTGTCAGTGGGCAGGTTTTTCATGTTAGAACACCCAGTTCAAATTTACATTCCCAAGTTTGTGGGTGGGGGCACAAGGTAAACTTGACAAGTTGGTGTAAAACCCCTATATTTGTACACAGTTGTTCTTACTGCCATCCAGTGCCTGGTAGAACAGCAACACAGGCCTTACAGGGTGGGTGTCAACTGGCGCTCAAAAATCAAGCTTCAGGTCAAGCAAGGCTGTGCCCCATTTTCTTAGGGAGAGTCCTCCAGTGGAGGACAGGTGTGATTTTTTGCTCCATAATCCCAGCCTAATCTCAGGTCTTTATTCAGGGCTACATACTGGATACATGATATTATTTTACATTTTTATTAGTAAATATACATTTCTGATGAAATGCTAACTCTTCAGCATGTCTAATTCATTATTTCTAAGCTTTGCTTGTGTAAAGATTAGGTTTGAAAAAGGAACCAGGAGTCCTTTTCCATTTCTTTGTAAGAAGGTATTTAGCAGAAATTGCTGCTTGCCCCCCTGCTGCCGACACTGCTGATGGCATCTGTGGGTGGTCTGCGATTCCCGCTGGCTACCGACAACACTGCCGGCAGTGGCTGCAGGTGGTCACCAGCCCTTGGTTGGCGCTCCCCTCTCCCCCTTCTGCTGACAGCACCTGTGGTGTTTGTGGGAGCTCCCCCACTTACCACCGCTGTGCTTCCACTGCTGCAGTGTTCCCCCAGCTGCCGGGGGCATGTGCCATTCATGGTGGTCTATGTAGGCACTGTCCTGATGCCTTGTTTCGGGTGATACCTTGCAACCCAGTCTTGATGCCTTGTTCCAAGTGAGCACATCTTTCAGACTGACCACAGCTCCTCCGGTGATAGTGGGCAAATTTTATTGATACATAGTGATAGGAAATAAGAGTAATGTAGGCAAAGCAAGATGATTACAAAATGCATTACCCAAAATCCCCAGTACCCAGAATATGCACAAGGCAAGCAGCGCACTTGGCTGGTATGTAAAGGTTCTTTGCTTGAGTGTCCATCAGCAACCTTGGATATCGGGGGGGGCTGATGCCAACTTGTTCTGAAAACTCCACCTTTTGTATTCCTTCTCTGATGACTCATTTCCAGGTCCCATTGATTGGTTTCCTTGTGACCGTCATGCTGTCCACGCTCTGTTTGTCAGCCAAAATCCTGTTTTCATAAACCCAGCACATGTCCACACCTTAATTCAGTCATTTCATTCCAAACTGGAAATCCCAAGGGTTTGGAGGCACTGTAACCTTGCAGCCCCAAGTCTAGCTCTATTATGAAATTAAATTCAGACACTTTTAATTTCCCAGGATGTGTATACTCCTTGGCCTCAGACACCCTGTCTGCTTTGAAGGCTGTGAAATGGTGTGACGAACAGGCTTTGAGAAATCAATTAACCCTGGCCATTCCCCTGCACCATTGTCCTAATGCAATTTTCTACTTCACCTACAAGCCAATTCCTAAAAACAAACCTCTAAATATCATTTTCTAGCCATCAGTTTAGCGGCTGCTCCTATGACCCCTTTATCCTCAGGCCTTTGCCACACTTTACACAGATGATCAGTGTTGCCAGATCTTAAATATGAAATTATTGTATTGGAAGTTTAAAATGATCATATTTGCTGAAAAACCTTTGTCCACTGAAAAAATATGCAAATAAATCATCTTATTTACCTTATATTGCTCACTGTAAGTCAGCAGTGAGTGAAAACTGGGTCATGAAAGTTGAAGCATTTCTCTATTTCCAAGCAAGCAGACATAAGAAAGTACTGACAGCAAACCCAGAAGTTAGGACTCCCTAGGTGCATCTTCATGTCACAGTCTATGGTGACAGTGAAGTGCTATACAGCATGCTACAGCAACGTAGCAATCATGCAGGTCTACATGTGATGGCTAGCTATGCCACCGTGCTGTAGCATTGCACTACCTGCTTATAGCACACCACTACAGCAACATAGTGGGGAAATCTAAGTGTGCACTGCCCGTACAGCACAGTATGGGTGGTTACTGTGCCATGTGTATAGTGAAAAGCAGGAGAGTTTGGCAGGAGCACAACAACAAAACAGAGAACCCCTTGGACCACTTCAGACACCCACCCATGTTCTCAAACTACACAAAGGGTTGTTAAGCCTCTATGCCCTACCAACTGCCCTTACAGATTTGAGGGAAACCAAGGAGTTAAATCCCTCTGGAAATTGACCTACTGCCTGGCTGGGCCCAGAAGTGCAAACTACCAATGAAAACTTCACACACAAATGTAAAGTTAACAAGTGTATTATGACAAGAAAACAAGTACTATAACCACAAACACAAAATTTACAGTACTATAAAATTATAGAAACAATATACTGTTAAAGAACCCAACAGTAGTCTGTCACCCGAGGTGGCAGACTATATCACCCTAGAGAGCTGAGAGGCAGAGAAAGCCTGCCGACAGCCTGACACCCCAGAGGATTTCTATGCTGTTCCCTCACACACAGGTGGGTACTGAGCACCTCAGTAAAGCAGGAGTGATACTTTACCTGACCGCTGCCATGCTAAGAAGCAGGTGTATGGCCGGCAAGTGCCCAGGTGATACAGACCCTCCACTCTTGCTTTGCAAGCACTGCCCCAACACATCTTGTTCTCACTCGCTCAGCAAATCACCACTAAACTCTGGGTTCTAGCTAGTCACAGATACTCAAACACTAGAGCAGTGGTACACTAATTACACTCGCACAAGCAAAAAAGGGAGAGAGCACATGACAAAGCAGGTCTTGGCAAGCCCTTCAGTCCCCAATGATGACCACGAAAGTCACTACAGACCCCAAAGCGTCTACTGACCCTGCACCGGACGGTCTTTTATAATAGCTAAATCACACTACCTGCCTGTTGAATGGAGACCCAATCTCTGATCACTGTCAATCACAGTAAGGACCATAAAAATCAAACTATCACAATAACCCATAATAACTCATTAGCATAACAGTCCTGTCATGTTCCCCTGGTTACCAAACAAACAACGGGGTCTCAAACAAACAACTCACTGCACATGCTCAGCTTCTGAAAGGAGGTCATGACATCGTTGAGGTTAGAAGGTTAGATGTACCAGAAGGCTCCAACCTCTAGTCATCCCATTCATGTGTTAATACCCCAGGACTCCCCTGTCTACATTAGGACTTCTAAAAGGACACCTAGACATTGAAAACAGGCAAACCTTATGACTGCTTGCCTGCTTCAGCTTCCAAAAGGAAGTACTAAAACAGCGCAGTAACACTGCCATACTGCAATGTGTAGATGCGCCCACTGAGAGCAACTTGGGATTTGCATATGTTGCATCAATGAACTGCCTCAAAAACCATTGTACATTTTGCTGGGTTTTTGGTTGTAGCCATGTTGATCTAAGGACACAGGCAGGCAAGGTTCTTTGAGAAGATGTGATGTCTTTTATTATACCAACCGAGTAGTTGGAAAAAAGTTCTTGGCAGGTAAGGGAAAAGGAAGAAAGCAGGGCGGGGGAAAGGCCAAAAGGGAGGAGACATTACAGTGATAGAATACAAGGTAGAAAAGAGGCTGCCTGTGATTTTGTTGGAGATCAGCAAAACAGGAATGACAAGCTAGAAGTGTGACAGGATG